TATCCGTGCAGTGATCAAGAAAAAAGAAGAGGAAGAAAGACAGGTGGACCAACGGTAAAGGTAAGAAGGAAAGATGCTAAAAGTTAAAGTTAGAAAAGTGGGTTAGACTGTATGAGTTAGACTGTGTGCTTCAGACTGTGGGGAAGGAGGAAATGCCCGTCTGGGAGTGATGCCATACTAGGTCTTTCCGCTTCCGGATCACTTGATGACAGAGGAGTGTCTGGTTTAGCAGGTAGGCGTTCGGCGTAGATTCGCTGACGACAGGGCATTTTAAAGTACCTCGGGAACTATCGCCGGGATTACGAAGAACGAATTCTGCATTAAGGTCAGTCAGGCGGCGTCATGACCCCCCGTCACCCTACTGAGATATCTTTTGAAAATTTCTGACCCCCTCTCTATAAAGACCAAAAAAAAAGTCTGAAAAGATAAACGATTTAGACGAACATGATAACACCAGTGGTGTAAGTAATGAAGACTAAATATTTTGTACACATTATAAATAAAAGTTTTCGTTCATTTTTTATTTGAGTTTGATACCATAAATATCCTTTTTCCTATAAGTTAATGAACATGTTATTTTATTGTAAAATGTGTGTAATCATCAAAATAATACATCACAAATTTGAGAATTGCCGCAAACTATTTTTAAATTTACTTCAATGTGTAATTAACGACAAATGCCGGGCGGGCATGTTTTCGACGCTGCAGTACCTGAGGGTCTTAAAAGAATCCTTGTTTTGGACGCTGCCGGAAGGATTATCGCAGGTACCAGATATTAGATATAATTAGGGTTTAATGATGGTCATTGAAATTGACTTAGGTACTAGTTATTAGTTTGTCAGAGAATAGTGAAAAGTGAACATGGAAATTTCAACGTTAGTAAGTAATCGTGGTAAAATTTTGCTCAAAGTAAACAGTTTTACTTTTTCTCAAGATAAATTACTAAAATCGGGAGAAACGTATTGGAGGTGCGTAAAACGGTCGCGTAAAGCGAAGATATTCACGAAAGGGCCAGAAAAGTTAGTGATCCGAAGTAATCTAGAACATAGTCACGAGTGTGATATCAAGACGCTTAATAGACAGATTGTGCGTAGCAGTGCCAAAAGGAAGGCTAAGGATAATTTGACCGAAAGGCCGTCCAAAATCATACATAGTGCGTTGAAAGAAAATGTAGATTGCTTGAGCCACATGTATGTTAAAGACGTTAATTTAATACGAAATCAAATATACAGTGAACGGCGAATGGCTCTACCGAAACTGCCCAAAAGTAAAGAAGAAACTATTGCTGCGGTAAATATTATGAATATCAAAACACTTAAAGACGAGAATTTTATATTTGCGGTTGAACTAAGTTCTAACATTATCATCTTCTCGTGTAACACTAACATGCGTTTTCTGTGCGGCAGTGAAACGATTTGTATGGACGGTACATTTAGTTACTGTGCTCAATATTTCAAGCAATTTTTTACCATACATGTATTTATCAATGGACATTATATACCATTGTTTTATTGTTTACTTCCCGACAAATCGAGATAAAACAAACCTATATAAAACTATTTAATGTTTTGAAACGCAAATGTGAAGTAGTTGGTCTAAAATTCAATCCAAAAATCATTTTTTCCGATTTTGAAATTGCTATCCACAATGCTGCTCGTTTTGAATTTCCAAATGTGCACATTAAAGAGTGCCGTTTTCATCTTATGCAAGCTTGGTATCGTAATATCGGTGGTTGTGGCTTAATTCGGGAATATAAATTGGCAGACAGTGAAATATCTAAATCAATATAAGGTTGAATGTTCGAATAATTAAACTTTGATAGTATACAAGGCAACTATCGAACACACTGATTAATTAAATCTTGCCCAAGTACTTTCGATCAATAGATCATATTCAGGGGCATCTGAAATAAGCCAAGAAACGTTTTTTTTAAAAGAAGGAAAATTAATTCACTTGGATAAAAAACTCCAAGTTTATGGTTGAAAAAAGTTTTTATGTTGTAGCATTTTCAATTTGCCTGTGGTAGGCAAAATACTTTCGTTACAATGTGATAAACGTTTATAGACTTACTTCGTCAGTTGTGGCCTATCTGACATGAGTAGAATGTCATACATGTAAATTTGAACATAACAATACAATACACAAAGACAAACAAACACTTTAAAATTTTTAAAAAAATGAGAAGCTACATGTTATAATATAGAAGCCGGAGACAGAATGGGCTCCCGGTCTTGCGGAAATATTGAGATGACATGTGACAAATGACAGCTTGTAAAGGGCAGTTATGTGATCTGCATCTTTCAAAATTCTATGAAACTAAGTATTGACCAAAGGTCCAACTGACACCACTATAGAAAATCAACTGATGAAATATAAAATTAGTATATTTTTATGTAGATTGTATAATCCAAATCTCACACTCAAACCTGTCTATAATAATTAGGATGTTAGTTTGAGAGCGACTGAAGTTGACATAAAGTATGAATGTAAGAAAAGACTAAACAATATATTAGACAGTGGATGGTTGACTACAATAAAATGGTCCACCAAGCGCTATCAGTACTGTAAAAAAGGAAAAATCTGAATATGCAGTTAAATTACTAATAGTTAAAATCAAAATTGAAAGCAAAATATATAAATGTGTTATAATCCAAGTAGTTCAGTTGAATCCACAGTCAATGGAAGAACTTTAGAATTAATATTGAAATGCTCAGTGCATGAAGTCTAAACAGTCGAGCTGGGTCTTCTACGAGGTGAAGCTGTAATAAAGTTTTTAAATATAGGATTAAATTTAGTACAATTTAAATTAATGTGAGTATCTAAATGGCTCAAATATATTTTTGGGCTGCCATTTTTACCTCCCTCAGAAGTCGAAGAATTTTTCATATATGATTTTATGGCTATTCAACCAAAGGATTCAAAATTGAAAAGTTTTCTGACTACTTATTGAACAACTACATTGGCGACCACGCAACATTTCCGTCGGAGATGTGGGCTGCGATGAGTGAGAGTTTACAATTAACAACTAATGCTTGTGAATCGTTCCACTCGCGTTTTAATGATAATTTTTACCATGCTCATCCAAATATTTTCCATTTTATTGATGTTTTAAAAAAATTTCAAACTGAAACTTACATTAAAATTAATAGTGTCTGTAATAGTGAAAGTAATAGACTTAAAGATCCAAAGAGTAGAAAAAAAATTATGTTCGTTAGAAATAGGATACATGAGTATCAAACTAACTGTATCGATCGATTCCATTTCGTAAAATGTATGTCGTATTTATTTCAAAGTGACAAATAAACTTTATCAAGCTTAATCTCTAGAATTATATTACCTGACTTTCCATTTACATTTCAATTACACCCAGCGTCCAAATCATGTATGCAGAAACAGGTAATTTTATTTTTCAGTGTCGAATTTTAAATTTAGCGTCCAAATCATGCACGCCCGATTTACCTGCCTGATTTCTTTATTATTTGTAGCTTTCAACATCTCTTTTTTAGTATATTTTTGTATAATATTTTCATGCATAATGTTCTCCTATTGTTTTAATAGTGTTGGCATTGTTTTTCATTTCTCTTCTTAAAAATTGGTATAGTGTATTTTTATGTATGAGAGAGTAATAAAACAATAAATTATGTATGCAAATCCCTAAACTGTTAATACGGATGACTCAATGAAAAACAGATATTTGTCAACAAGTTTACAGAAGTATATAGGAAAGCAATTTTAAATTGAGTATGACCACCAGGTATAAAGGTTGTAGCAGAATAGAATACAATAGTTGTGAGGGTTACTAATCCCTAAATAAGGTTGCCAGTGTCGGAGTGATGGAGGTTAACAGGTACTAATGAATTTGCAAGAAATGTAAGATGTTTATTTTGTTGGTTATATATAACCAATAAAAGTTTAATAAGTACCTACCTATTTGCAAAATAAAGTTTAATTCTTTAGATAAAATAAAACGTTTTATTTTATCTGAAATGAGTGCATTCCACGAAGTAAGGGTTTCAACAATCAAACATTTAATTCTTTAATTCCAGGAATCTACATCAGTAATTAACTAGACCACCAGTAATTAACTAGTAATTAACCTTCTAAACTTATTCCACAGAAAATGTGATAGTGGGTTTTTCCATTTTGTAGGAAGGTCCAAGTGACGTATTTAAAATTCTTAACAGTTC